TATTTACCATAGCTAAGATATGGAACCAACCCAGATGCCTCTCAGTAGATGAATGGATCAAGAAAATGTGGTATATATACACAATGGAATTCTATGCCTCCATCAGAAAGAATGATATTGCCCCATTTGTTAGGAAATGGAAAGGCTTGGAAAAAATTATATTAAGTGAAGTAAGCTAGGCCCAAAGAAACATAGATCCCATGGTTTCCCTTATTTGCAATATCTAATATATGTCTGAGTCAAGCAGAAAAGGTTAGATGAGGTGATGTTAGGGAAATGAACCCTAAGATATGTATTCAAATGTTTTTTTTTTCTTTCATGCGATTGTTTCTAACACATTTATAAGATTATTTCTTTGTTGCTTTGTATGTCCTTTCCCCACAGTATGACCCCTGCTTTTACTGTATTTGATGTTGGTATAATTTGTGGAGGGGAAGGGGAAAAACAAGTCGTTTAAATAAGGATACAGGTGGACACATTGCAACAATGAGAAGTACCCGTTGTTATGTCCAAAACGAACTTTACAACTTTGGTGGGAGGGCAGTGAGGATTGGGTGAGGGGGTGGGGGAGGATGGGAAGGGATGGGAAGGGGAAACAAAGGAGGAGGCTACAATGTTTGATAAGAAATGTACTCATTATCTTGCCCATGTAATTGTAACCCCTCTATACAGTATTTTCACAATAAAAAATAAAAATTAAATAAAATAAAAAAGAATATAATATATATAATCCTAATTTTTGAGTCTTTAGGTAAATTATATTTACATTTCTCATTTTGCACTGTAGATCTATATTCTGTGTCAACCAGTCTCCGTGAATGAACTGAATATTACAGTTATCTTAAATTTATAAATACATATAAATAAAATACCATTCTTAATGAAAACGAACTTTACAAGTTTGGTGGGGAGGGGAAGCGGGGAGGATTGGGTGGGGGGGTGGGAGGGGGAGGATGGGAAGGGGAAACAAAGGAGGAGGCTACAATGCTTGATAAGAAATGTACTCATTATCTTGCCCATGTAATTGTAACCCCTCTGTACAGTATTTTCACAATTAAAAAAAAAAAGTGTTGAAATCCTAGCTACTCAGGAGGCTCAGACCTGAGGATCGTGATCCAAAGCCAGTCCGGGTGGGAGAGTCCTGTAAGACTCCTATCTCCAATTAACCCCAGAAAACCAAAAGTGGTGCTGTGGCTCAAAGTGGTAGAGTGCTAGACTTGAGCTGAAGAACTCAAGGACAGCACCCAGGCCCAGAGTTTAGGCCCCATGACCAAAAACAAAAAAAATAGGAGAGAAATATTTGATGTTTCAGCTTCTTTTATGAATTGAATTTCATCCATTCTCAAAATAACTTCCTAACTTGAAACCTGTCAATGCTAAGAGGGGGGAGGGAGAGGAAGAGACTACCAGAAAATAATATCTCCAAGTATGAGATTTTTTTTTCATTTTGGACTAAAGAAGATTATGATCAGGATATACACTATAGTAAATCATAGATGCACACATACACAGAGAGAGAGAGAGGCAGAGGGAGGGAGAGAGAGAGAAGAATAAGGGAAGATTTATTCACAAAAAGAAGATATTCACATCAGCTCCTTGAGCACAAAACCCACTGGCCGTCGAGACCTGAGATGAGAGTTGGTGCCAGCTCACGGGTGAAGTTGCCATTGCTGGACCGGCACGCTTTGTGCAGGGCACCACATCTGAATGGTTGAGGCATGCATTCTCCATAACTTTCTACCCCTGATTTTTGTCTGCTGATATGTACATCATTTTGTGTGCATGTAGTCATATTGGGCCTCACACTTTCTAGCCAGCCACTCTATCACTGACTTAAACTTCCAGCACTTTTTTACGCTGGTTCTTTTTGAGCTAGAATCTAGATGTGAAACTGAACTGTGAGCCTCCTATTTTATCACTTCCTACAATAGCTAGGTTGAGAGGCACATACCAACACCATTCCCAGCTTCTTGCGTTGACATGGAGTCTCATAGACTTTTCCAACCTAGGTTGATTTAGAACCACAATCCTCTCAATCTCTGCCCCCCAAGAAAGATTACAGATGTAATACACCCGCATCCAGAACAAACTTGCATCTTGAGATCAGCAACTTATACAAGCCCCAACCACCAATCAGATTCTAATCGAGTATAGGGACTTTAAAGAGCTAGTGAAGGTTCAGTTAGGACATCTGGGTGGTAAACTGACTCAATATAACTGGTATCCCTAATATTTAAGGCAATCTTAGTTATAAGGGAGGATGGGTTGCACCATTTCCTCCTCAGGTTCAAAGAGAATTGGTTGCCCTTCCTAAGTGTTCAGCCCAAATAAAAACTGCTGGACTGTTGAGCTCATCTTTGTGCTCTTTTCTTACACTTTCAATGTAGGTTCCCAGAGATTATTATATGAATACACACAAAGAAGACAGCCCTCAAAACTTGGAAAAAATTATATTAAGTGAAGTAAGCCAGACCCAAAGAAACATAGGTCCCATGGTTTCCCTTATTTGCAATATCTAGTATATGTATGAGTCAAGCGGAAAAGGTCAGATAATGTGATGTCAGGAAAATGAACCCTTAGATATGTATTTTAATGTTTTTTTCTTTCATGCATGTGTTTCTAACGCATTTATAAGATTATCTCTTTGTTGCTTTGTATGTCCCTCCCCCACAGTATAACCCCTGCTTTCACTATATTTGATGTCAGTATAACTTGTGGAGGAGATGGGGAAAAACAAGTCGTTTAAGGATACAGGTGGACCTGTTGCAACAATGAGAAGTACAAGTTGTCATGTCCAAAACGAGCTTTATAAGGTCGGTGGGGGGGGGGGGAAGGCGGGGGAAGGAGAAGGATTGGGATTGGGGGGAAGGGGGGAGGCTGGGAAGGGATGTGAAGTGTAAACAAAGGAGGAGGCTGCAATGCTTGGTAAGAAATGTACGCATTACCCTGCCCATGTAATTGTAACCCCTCTGTACAGTATGTTCACAAATAAAATAAAATTAAATTTTAAAAAAAAAAAAAAAAAAAAAAAAGAAGACAGCCCTCAGCAAGCCAAGAAGACAAGTGTGGAGAAAGTGGGCCTGCCATGGTCTTGATCTTGGATGGAAAGGCTTCACCACTGCGAGAAAACCAATCTCCCTCGGTGAGGCACTGAGTGGTATTTTGTGATGGCAGCCCAAGGAGACAACTTCCACTAAGCGTGGAGCTAACTTGTCACGTAACAACACGTGATGTATTTTCTCACTCCATCTCAAACTAAATGCACACATTTCCCACTCACTCCTTTCACTACTCAAAACTAGCTCAACAGTTTAGCCCTGAAATACACCAATGAGATGTGTGAGCACACTTCCTCAGAAGAAACTTGATATTCAGCGGCTTGATTCCCTGACAGATTATAGAGAAGTCTTTCCCTGACTGACTTCTAAGCTTTCAGGAAAAGTAATAGATGGCAATTAAGCAGTGTATGGCCTTGTTTGATATGTGTGTGTGTGTGTGTGTGTGTGTTAGGGTTTGAACTTAGGACTTAGACACTGTCACCTCTAGTATCTGTGGTCAAAGCTGAGCTTTATCACTTGAGCCATCGCTCCACTTCTAGTTTCTTTAATTTTAGAATGTCACCATGACTAAGATCACAAAAGGAAGTGGGGAGGGAAAAGAGAAAAGAAACATAGGTTTCTAACCCAATTGAAAACTTGTCATTACAAATACTCTGCCTCTCGTCTGCTTTCGTTAGCAGCCTGCTACAGACATTTCATTATGTGAAATCGCCGACCTCTTGCTCTTCACCGGCAGGGAGCTGTCCCAGTTATCTTTTAAAATTCGTTGCTGTTATTTGCACAGAGTACGGATTCAATAAATGTTTAGAGAAGCGATCTGCCCCGCCCCCTCCCTCCAGTTCTGTCCGCAGGCAGTCCTAAACCAAGGCTTTAAAGAGGCAGCCCGGAGCCCTGCTTCCAGGGAGTACCACTCAGACTGCCTCCAGACAAGCCCAAGTTAGCAATCAATTTTGCCTTCAAGTTGCAGGCTGATTGGTAAGTTCCTCCCCACTTAACCCTCCCCGACCCATTCCCAGGTGGTGATCATCTGCCTCGTATTTTCTAACCACAACCCTTCCCCCCACCCCACCACACCCCATCCCTGGGCCCCACTGACATCCCTACCTGGCCTGAATCCTCACCCCAACCTTACAAACCAGGCAACAGCCCAACCTATGGAGAGCATAGGAAATGCATAGGAAATAGGAAATGCGGCAAGCTGTTTAAAGTGTTGGACCCTGAATCTAGGATTGTGGTGTCCTTAGATCTCTTTCATTTTGGAGCTCTCTAAACCCAGAGAACGCAAGGCGCTGGTGATTCACACCCGTGGGTAGAAAAACCCATGCGCCTTTTATCTCCAGTTAAGGGGGGTGGGGGGGGCGTTGAAAGTCGGGGCATGGTTCCAGTGGTAGAATGCTAACCTGGAATGGAAGAAGTCAAGTGAGAGCGAGAGGTTCTGAGTTCAAGCTTCTGTTTGGGGGGGAGGGGGCGGGGGGGGCGCGCGCGCACGCACACACACACACACACACACACACACACACACACACACACACACACACACACACACAGCCTCTGCAGCGCCAGGCCGCGCATGGCCTAGGAAGCCTGTTGCAATGCACCAAAGCAACCACCAGATGATACTCAAGGATTAAGATGATGGTAAACCCCTGGCCACCTGTAGCCGCCGCTTTGCCCGGTCCTGGGGCAAGGTCCTGGAATGCCCTGATCCGGGACTGCAGGCGGGTCGCACTCCGCCCTGCCGTTCCCTGCCAAGCTGCCCTGCTCTGCCATGCCCTGGCGCCCCGAGCTTTGACCCGGGACGTGGAAGCGCCGACTGCCATAGGTCGGGGCATGGGTGGGAGCGGGGCGGAGCGGACGCGTCGCGGGGCTCCGGGCGCGGGCTCGGCCGGCGGTGGACTCCGCCCCTCCCGGCCCCCGGGTGTATTTAGCACCCGGGGCGCCCGGCCCGGGGACCCCTCCCCGCGGGACTGTGGGACGAGTGAGGAAGCGGTCCTCGGCCGGTTGCGCAGCGCCCACCGTCTGAAGACATGAACTACGCGCGGTTCATCACCGCCCGCAGCGCGGCCCGGACCGCCTCCCCCATCCGGACCAAGGGTGAGACGCGGGGCCGGCGCGCCCCGGGGCCTCGCGGGGACCGCGCCCCGCCCGGCCACCGCCGGGCTGCATTCATTCATTCGACCCCGGAGCCGGCAGGCGTGGAGGCGGCCCAGCCCCGGTTCTCCAGCCGGAGAGCTCAGGCTGCCGGCTGCCAAGAAAGTCCCCGGGCAGGGAGGCTGAGGCCGGGAGGCCGGGGAGCTGGGGAGGCCGCTGGCGGGAGTCGGGGCCAGGGGGACTTGGGAAATGGGACCCAAACCCGGAGCCACGATGCCCACGGGCGGGAAGGCCTTCTGTCCCGACACGTTCCGGGTCTCGGTGTCTTCTCCTCGGCCACCTCCATTCCTCCCCACCCCCCATGAGGAGGCTGAGAAAAAGTTATTCTGTATTTAGTTTAGACCAAGATTCTTGCCCGGTCTGTTTGAGCGGCTATCTCAAAAGGCCCTAAATTGGCAGTTCAGAAGCAATGGATTTTTTTTTTCTCACACACACAGTCTTAAATGTAAGGTCGAATAAGGCCCCCCTGACTTCATGGATGGATTGCTGGCGTTCTCTTCCTGTCTTCACCTAGAGTCGGGCTGGGAAGCACAGCTTCACATCACTGGCAGAGTCAGCCTCTGGTTGGGGCCATTCCTTAGAGATGCATTGCTGTGCCTTCGCTTAGTGGGACAGAAAAGCCAAGACTTCCTCCCTCCAGCCTCTTTCCTTAAGGATAAAATCCCATTCGTTAGAGTACAATCCTCATAATTAATCCCTTCCTAAGGATCCCATTTTCTAATAATATTACATTGAGTATTTATTAGATTCCAACACAATAGTGTTGGAACATTCACCAAAAAAATGATCTCTGATGGATAGAATGGTGATAGAAACCATTAAACTCCATAGATGACTGTATTTTGCACACTGAACTATCTCTGCTTATGACGATCTTCAAGGAAAGTATTTCTTCTCTGCCATGTTCATCACAGCTGACATATTGTGCAAGGCATCCGATTCGCTCATCAGCATGGCTCCTGGATTTCCAAACCCAAATACTTTCCCCTTTAAGACTGCTACGATCACGGTAGAAAATGGAACTAGCCTCCAATTTGATGAAAAACTGATGAATAGAGCACTTCAGTATTCTCCAAGCTCTGGGTAGGTAATGGGGAGGGAATGAACTTTTCTTGGTTCATTTTCACGTCCCTTTGACCAAGTGACTTGCGTCTTATTTAATGAGGTGCTTGATGGTCAGGGAGATTTGGAGAAGAGTTTTTTTTTTTTTTTTTTCAAAAAGTAATTAAGAGCAAAAGGGATATGAAATGCTTAACTCTCTTCAGTGACTGCTTTGCACCCTTAAATGAATGGGAAAGTCAGAGAAACTTCTGAAGGAAGAGATAAATGTGTGTGAAACTAAAGAGATTAGCGCTAGATGAAGAGGCATATTGGGAGAAAAGAGGAAATGGATGGTCCAAGAGGTAGTACTTTTAAATCCTTAATTATTGTCCAATAATTATGTCCCTTTTCCCTCACTGCCCAATAATTATCTCTTTTATGCTCAATCATAATATTTGCAAATACATTATGTTCAAAAATTCAAATATCTTCAATTTCGTAGAAGCAAACTGAAATGTATATCCTAAAATTTTCATTGGCTGTTCTTCCAATGAAAATTTATATTTTCTTTGAAGCATTCTTTTTGTTCTTTTTTGGTCTGAGATCAGGAGTCAAATTCATTAACTGATGCTTTCTTTCACTCATTGGCTGAGCCATGCCTCCAATGCTAAATCTCTGTGACATACTCCTATAATCCCAACACTTCGGAGGCTGAAGGATCATGAATTAAATGAGCCTTAGATACATAGCAGAAAGACCTTATACACACACACACACACACACACACACACACACACACACACACACACACACACACCTTTGTCCTGTGATTGAAGAGTTTTGAATTATATAGTATATGATGAACTCTTCTTTCCCTGAAGAAAAGAATTTATTAAGTCTAGATTTCTAGGTTGCTTATAGAAATGTTCCTTAAGATTTTTAAAAAATTGCTGTGCAGTGAATACTGTGTACAGAAGAGACTATGGGTTTTAAAATAACACTAGGCTGGAAGTATGGCTCAGTAGTAGAGCACCTGCCTAGCAAACATGAGGCTTTAAATTAAAATCCCAGTGCCATCAAGAAAAAGAAAACAGAAAAAAAAAAAACAAATCTCAGTTTTACTCAGTTACTCATTTACTCATTAAGTAAAAGACTGACTTTATGTGAATTTCCTAATCTCTAAAATCTACTGCCTCATCTATTAAATGGTAGTACTGGTCCTGGCAAAAAGCATTTGAAAGTTTTTTTTAATTCTGAAAAATGAGTTTTTAATGATTTTGATATTATTTCTTGTTTAAAATTACTATTACTAATATTACTCTAAACTTAAAATTACATAAATGTAATATAATCCCCGAAAATCATGGAATCAGAGCCAGGCAGTCAAGACTTTGAGACCAGACTGCATTACATAATAAGAGAGCTTGTCTAAAGTAACAATAATAATAAATAAATAAAAATACATTTTATGCTTTAGGATTCCAGAGCTTATTTCCTGGATAAAACAGTTGCAAATAAAATTGCATAATCCTCCCACTGTCCACTACCCACCCAGTCAAGGACAAATGGATATATGTATCACTTCCGGTTGCCAAGATGGTCTTTGTAAGGTAAGATTGAAAGGAAAATGGAGCCTACATGTGAGATCAGGTATGTTCCTACATAGAGCCAGCTCTCATTGGACTGCCAGACCATATTTTGTAGATTACCCATCCCCTTTCTGGTCATCCCTTCGAATATTTAACAGGGCACTCAAAGACAAAAGGTATGAAAAGGAATGAGGGCATGGCTAGCACGTACTTAGTTAGAGTTTAAACTCAAAGACTTTCAAAATGTGTCTGCTCTTAATCACTCATCAACCTGATTTTTCTTAAATGCAGAGACTATGCTCTAGAATAGCCTGGAACTTTAAGTTATTCAACCACCATTCCCAGTAAGGATTTCTACCACAAGTTTTGTGAGTGCTGCCGAATTTCACCCGGCCCAAAGATTTCTGCCTGTAGCCACAAAAGTTCAGAGTTATTCCAGTAAGCCCTCCACAGAGGACATGTCCCCATGTCCTGAAGAATGGCATTCCTTTATGCTCCTCAATTACACAGGGCCTGTCTTGATAATCCCCTTATAAGTTAAAATGATGATAAGTCCAAACTGCCTTTCAGATACCCAGCCTGCTGGACATCAGTCCTTAGCAACTTAGCACCATGTAGTGTAAGTTGTTTATCTTTACAACTACATGGCAGCTGAGAGTTACCAGCGCCAGTGACAGTATCATTCCATGTATTGCTAGCAATCTTCAAAATTCCAAGTACAGTTTCCAATAAAGGCATACTTTTTCCATTATAAAGTGGAAAGTTTTTCAGTGGATCTATTGTTAAGTCAGGGACCATATGTCTTTCTCTAGCTTCTCTGAGTTAGTTCTCTGCCTCTCTTTTCTCTCCTCTCCCAGCCCTCTGTCGGTTTTCTCTCCGCTTCTCCGTTGAGATCCTGGACTTCCACACACACCACCACCAGTGGGTAGATATCACAATGAAAAGACCGTACCTCTGGCGAATTTTTCTCTGTTGTTTTTTTTTTCCTTTTCAAGAATAAAATCCTTGGTAAAGATTTTTCTCTTTTCACTCTTCAAGTCTAAATTGAAATTTGACTTTAATTTATCTTTATCTTAAATCACGGTAGCTTTCTTTTTGAGTAAGCTATAATCTGGCTCTGTTTAATGAAATTTGATGAAACTATGATTATGGAAATAGCTTCTAGTGATAAAAATACTACTTTAAATATTTTTAGAAATTAAGCTGGGGGCCAGTGGCTCACATCTATCATCCCAGCTACTCAGGAGGCTGAGAACTGAGGACTGCATTGCAAAGGCAGCTCACGTGGGAAAGTCCACGATGCTCTTATCTCCAATTAAGCACCGAAAAGAAAAGAAAGCCAGAGTGAAGCTATGGCTCAAGCAGTAGAGCACTAGCCTTGAGCACAAACCTCAAATACAGTGTGGAAGGCCTTCACTTCAAGCCCCAGGACTAGCAAAACAACCAGGAGGGGAGGGGAGAGAAAGGGAGGAGAGGAGAGGGGAGAGAGAAGGGAGGGGAGGGGAGGGGAAGACATGTGGATTGGAAGGACAAAAGTTCTAGGCCAGGCAAATTTAAATTAAAAAAAAACTAGCAAGACAGCAAGAGTCTTCCAAATCAGCAAGTGTGGAGGCACCTGCCTGTCATCCCAGCTCCATGCGAGGATAACTAGGTGGATTGTGCTCCAGGCTTGTTTGAGGGACCCTATCTGGAAAAATAACTCCATAAAAAGATAAAATGGGGCCGGGCATGGTGGCTTACTCCTGTCATCCTAGCTACTCAGGAGGCTGAGATCTGACGATCTCAGTTCAAAGCCAGCCTGGGTAAGAAAGACCTTGAGACTCCTATCTCCAATAAACCACTCAGAAAACCAGAAGTGGTGCTGTGGCTCAAGTGGTAGAGCATGAGCCTTGAGCTGAAGAGCTGAGGGACAGCGCCCAGGCCCAGAGTTGAAGCCCCACGACCAACAACAACAACAAAAGATAAGTTGGATATTTCAAGCCAACTATTCGAGACCTGTGGGAAACAGCCTCATGCTATACAGGTTGTTAAAATGCTGGGCAGAATCACTTCCCTTGGGGGACTGTGAGGCATTGCTAGGTTAATAAGATTCTTGTGTAACTTCTAGACTGCTTAGTCAGTAGTCCCATAAGATTTGGTCTGATAAATGTCTGTCGCCTGAGACTAATGATGTCCACGGTCGTCATATCATCCACAGTATGTCTCCAGATGTGTTGGACTGAGTCATATTTGACCTCCAGGCATCCACAAAAGGCTGAGTTCCCCAGCCTTTTTATAACGCTAGTCTGGCCCCACATTCTAGGGCTGTCCTCTCATCAGCTGTGCTAGAACTCAATCCTAGAACTCCACCCTCTCCTTCATCTGTGTGCTTTCCCTTGCTCCCTCCGTCCTTCACATGTCCCAGTCATTGCCCTGAACTGGGACGCTCTTTCCATTTGTCTACCTGCCCGCCTGACACCACTGCAGAGGGACCTCACACCGAAACAGTTCAGCTTCATCTTAACCAGATGTGGGTGACTTGGTGCCTACGTAATTCAGCAAATGGTATCCATCTGGCTGGTCTGATGGCCCAGAATCTAAAAGTCCTGCCTGACAACTTCTCTTCTGCATTCTCAGAATGCAGTCCACAGTCATTTTCAGTTGGATTTCATTTCCTAAATACGTCTCTGCTCTTCCCTACCGTTCCACTACTCTAGTCCCCACCACCCTTACCTGTCCCCAGAACAGCAGCAATATCTTCCCAAACAGTCCCCAGAATTTGCCAAATTCTTCATGTGTATTCTCACTCTTATTCTTTCTTACTGTAGCGATCATTGTTCCTATCTGCTCATTGGCTTTCTCTTTACCCAAATACCTACATAGGTGGTCTCTGCCACTTCTACTTGTCTCTTCCCAGACAGCTCTTTACAGTCCCCCATCACGGGTTGCTCAGACTATACCTATTGTAACCCCCTGCTAACGCAGCTCTTAACTCAGAGAAGCCTTTTCTGAGTTCTCTGAATGTCCACATCCTGCAGTGAGCTGTTACAACATTGTGAATCTGCACTTACTAACACTTGCAATACTTTTCGTGATCAGCTGCTTGGAAACTCTTTGACTAGTGTCCGGCTCTCCCAGAAGAACAAGAACTCCATGTGAGGATAAACCCTATCATGGTTTCATCATCAGTAACTTTTTCAATGAAGCAATCAATGCAACACATGAATCCAGGAGCTAAACTTGTTACGTTCAATTTTATTTTATCCTAGAACAGAGATTGGCAAACCAATTGGTTTGAGAGCCAAATCTAAGTCATTGTCTAAGTTTCTAAATAAAGTTTTTGGAACTCAGCTACACCCATTTATTTATATATTTTCTGTGACTGCTTCCTTTATTGACAGAGATGTTAAATTGTAACAGTCACAATGGATCACAAAATAGTGACTATCTGGCTCCTTACAGAAAAATTGCTAGCTCTTATTTTTAGTCCTACGAACTTAATCTAGAAAAGGGGATTCTGAGAATTGGAACAACATGGCCCAAGCTAACCTTTGCTCTTTTTGTTAGGTATTTGAAATGATGATTAATCCTGGAGATACTATCCTGCTCAATGAACCGCTTTATTCAGGAACAATTCAAGCTGTGAGTACACATTCTGACAAAGTGGAAACTCTCATTCAGTGCAGAGAAGGAAGCTTTTCACCTCGAACATTATCTGTCCCCTGGAAAATAAAATGGCATCTTCCATCTGTAAATAAGAGTCCCTTAATGACATATGAAAAATATCTTCAAATATACCCCTTACTTCATATATTCTTTAAAATGCAAATGCTAAGGCACTAAAACTAGGTTGCGTAAAGTCATGTTCAATTGCTTAATGTTTTCCCTGAAATGTGACTTAATTTACACAGACACTGTTTTTATAACCATCTTTTATTACCATGTGCTTAGGTATAATCATGTTATATCAATTTACTATAACTCGAAGGTAATATGATATAATTAGAGAGTTTCCGCTCCCATGTTAAATCAAAGAATAAAGTTAATCATCTGACTCACTGCTGAGAATTAGGCTTGCTTGGGACACACTACTTTAGGATATCTTTGTCTACAAACTAAGTATACAGGAAAGTGTGATCAGAATGAACAGGGAAATAGAAACCACACAGGATACAGGGACTCTTTTTAGGAATTACTGTAGTTTTCTTTAAAAAAAAAAAAAAGTGGGGGGAGGAGATTCATTGAAGGCACAGAATTGTCCTCAAATATAGAAGAATTTGACTTATTTGACACATTCTGAGGTTAGTAGAACTAAAGGATAGAAGCTACAGAGAAAGAAGCTCAACCAAAAGAACTCTCTAACCATCCGGGTGCCGGTGGCTCACACCTGTAATTCTAGCAAGTCAGGAGGCTGAGACCTGAGGGCAGGAAAGTCCATGAGACTCTTATCTCCAATAAACCACTCAGAAAATTGAGAGTGGTGCTGTGGCTCAAGTGGTAGAGTTAGCTAGCCTTGAGCTGAAGAGCTGAGGGTCAGCACCCAGGTGAGTTCAAGCGCCATGACCAACAAAAAGAAGAAGGAGGAGGAGGAGGAGGAGGAGGAGGAGGAGAAGGAGAAGGAGGAGAAGGAAGAAGAAGAAGAAGGAGAAGGAGAAGGAGAAGGAAGAAGAAGGAGAAGGAGGAGGAGAAGAAGGAGGAGAAGGAAGAAGGAGGAGGAGGAGGAGGAGAAGGAGGAAGAACAAGAAGAAGAAGAAGAAGAAGAAGAACAAGAACAAGAAGAAGAAGAAGAAGAAGGGGGCTGGGAAGGTGGCTCAGTGGTAGAGCGCTTGCCTTGCATGCATGAGGCCCTGGGTTCGATTCCTCAGCACCATATAAGCAGAAAAAGCCAGAAGTGGTGCTATGGCTCAAGTGGTAGCGCACTAGCCTTGAGCTGAAGAGCTGAAGGACAGGCCCAGAATTCAGGCCCCATGTCCAACAAAAAAAAAAGAAGAAGAAGAAAGAACTCTCTATCAGTCTTACCTGACTGCTAAGAGGATGTAACGGTTTTTTATTGTCAACTTGATTGACTTGAGGCAGCACCTGCTAGATTGGTAAAGTGTGCCTCTAGATGTGTCAAGGAGGGACAGAGACTGGAACTTGTGAAACTATAGCAAAATCATTTATTCTTCTCCTAAATTGTTTTGCCCAAGTATGTTGTCATAGTGACAGAAAATTAATATGTAGAGGTAGAGTTTTTCCCACTGCAGATACCCAGTTACCTGCTTGACGAACACATTCTAACTATTAAGGCATTTAATCAAAAGAGATTAAGTATGGTTATTTAATGAAGGACTAATATTTCAGTAGCCTGTAGCTACAAGGGTGTATTTCTGTCATACTCTATGTGCACCATGGGACCAATACAGCATCTGCCTTACCCAGCCCTAGATTGACAAAGAAGCCTCTATTTGGAATATTGCCAGTCTTAGAGCAAAGGGCAAAGAGACATTGAAAACCATCAGCTGGGGGGGGGGGGGGGAAGTGGGGAGGATTGGGTGGGGGGGGTGGGGGGAGGATGGGAAGGAGAAACAAAGGAGGAGGCTACAATGCTTGATAAGAAATGTACTCATTATCTTGCCCATGTAATTGTAACCCCTCTGTACAGTATTTTCACAATAAAATAATAATAATTTAAAAAAGAAAACCATCAGCTGTTACACTTCTGTGCAGAAGAAATATACTTCACTTCTGCTCACAGATATACTGGCCAAAGCAATGCACATGACCCAGGTAATGGGACAGGGAAGTATAATGCTTCCCTCTAGACAGGGACAGAGATAGCATTGAACAACAGAATTACAATACAGAGGTCAACCCTCTGGATCTTGGAGATGAGTGCAAGAGTAATATATTGCCAAAATATCCAGATCAAGGTGGATCATCTGACTCGATAGATACTAAACATTCATAGTATTTATTGACTTAGCAGTAGTGTTCATGTTTTGTATTTATATTGAACTCTTCAGCTTGTCTTCTGTATTCCAGTTAACACCGCTGGGTGGCAACATTATCAGTGTTCCCAATGATGAACATGGGATAATTCCAAGCGCCCTCAGAGAAATACTTTCCAAATGGAAACCAGAAGATTCAAAGGACCCTACAAAAAATGCTCCTAAATTTCTTTATACTATTCCAAATGGCAACAACCCTACTGGCAACTCTTTGACAGCTGACCGCAAAAGGGACATCTATGAGGTATTTATAAGAATGTCTTGTATGGTTAAATTCCTGTATCATTTTTTTTTTTTTTTACAAGAGGGCAATGCAAGTTCTTAAAAGATGTTCATCTAGGCTATGGGCCCTAATAAAATGAGACAAAATAAATTACTTCACCCTTGTTTTTCTTTTCCTTTAATTGATGCTTTAATATAATAGAAGTAACATATTTCTCTGCTGTTAGCTTTAAATGAACATCAAGCTATCAATAATCAAATAAACATCAAGCTATGCAGAAATCTTTGAAAGATAAGAGAAACGTGTCTTTTGTAAAGTCTCTTTTTCTGGACCTGACTATCTTCTCTACAAATAGCTTGGTAAATTAAGTATGACGCCCATGTTCACCCATGTAGAATTTAAGTGTGTATGGTGGAATCAAAAGTAAGATATCGGGCTAGGAAGGTGGCTCAGTGGTAGAGCGCTTGCCTTGCATGCCTGAGGCCCTGGGTTCGATTCCTCAGCACTACATAAGCAGAAAAAAGCCGGAAGTGGCTCTGTGACTTAAGTGGTAGAGCACTAGCCTTGAGCTGAAGAGCTGAGGGACAGCGCTCAGGTCCAGAGTTCAGGCCCCACAACTGACAAAAAAAAAAAAAAAAAAGTAAGATATCAGCTAGTTCCTTCACACGCTCCACTAAGATCCCTTTATGCTGCTCTGCAGAGGTTTTGTGCTTTTTCTTTTTTCTAATTTCAGGTTTGTTTTTGTTCTTTTGTTTTTGGGGGTTGGTTCTGGGGCTTAAACTAAGGGCCTGGGCACTGTCTCAGGAATCTCTCTCTCTCTCTCTCTCTCTCTCTCTCTCTCTGTCTTTCTCAAATATGATCTTATTTAATACTTTACCTTTACCTCAAGGTTATCCCTCCTCCCATCTAATTTTTCCCCATTCAGTCTCCATTAACTTATGCCCATCCTGTCATCGTCACTGGAAGTCCCATGAGAACAGAAGTCTTCCCTGCTTCTGCATGGCTCTGTACACCATTTATAATAATCTGAACTCAATAGTCTCTTGGATGAATAAATAAACAAATGAGTATAAAGAGCGGTGATTCTGAATAGTTTTGATTTTAGGTACTTAAGAACTATTTTACTTTAACCTTTTAGCTTGCCAGAAAATACGATTTCCTCATAATAGAAGATGATCCTTACTATTTTCTCCAGTTCAACAAGGTAAGAGATGACATGAAGTTATTCCACCATTATGAGATAGAGTTGTAAGTTCTCACTGCAATTGAGATTAGCCTAGCTGGGGCTGGGAAGGTGGCTCAGTGGTAGAGTGCTTGCCTTGCATGCCTGAGGCCATGGGTTCGACTCCTCAGCACCACATAAGCAAAAAGAAAAAAGCCGGAAGTGTCGCTGTGGCTCAAGTGGTAGAGCGCTAGCCTTGAGCTGAAGAGCTGAGGGACAGCGCCCAGGCCCAGAGTTCAGGTCCCACATCCGGACCCAAAAAAAAAGAGAGAGAGAGAGAGATTAGCCTAGCTACCAAGATAGAGCCCTTTACTTCTGCATTGAAATTATATGAATTTATATTAATTTGCCACCACTTACTTTTTTGTCTTTTCCAATTTTATTGTGGAATTCTTCTTATTGCATTGAACATTCCTCAAAAAATTACTGCTCATTTTTAGTATATTTATACTCTTTCTAGAACTTAGAACCTTAGAACTTAGTTACCTTCAAAATAGTAGCTGTTTGTACTGTACCATGTGTTTTATTCAAATAGAACACAGCAGGGAGATGATGTCAATCTCCAAAACCTACTTCATCACCTCTTACACATCACCTGAGAGATGTGCAGTGGTTTTCATTTTAGCTATCAACTTCAATCTCATGATAGCTGATGAGAATGATGTCTGAGAAAGAGTGTGAAACTATGATCCAAGCTGAAGGAAAAACAGGGCTGAGTTCAACTGGTAATGTCCATGATGGAAGCAGAAAAGGTGTAATGGCCACATATTTGCGACCTTTGTCACTGATGCCCTAGGTCTCACTTGCAGAATAATTTTTCTTTTCCATTTATCCTTGCTGTATGGAGATGCTGCTTTTTCAAATTCCTGTTTTTCTAGTTGGAAGTAGTTGGAGCACTGACTACCAAATGCCTGGTTCCTCAAAATCCAGTGATTTGTCTGCCCTCCGAGGTGCAGAAAATATATAACTACACACACACACACACACACACACACACACACACACACACGGCTTTACCTACTTCTTCTCTCTCCTTTTAAATGAAGAAACAAAAATTCTATTTATTTTTTTATCCAAGTTGTTCCTAGCTCAGGCTGTCTTTGAACACCTGAATGTCAGAATTACAGGTCTCTACCACCATGCCTGGTTAGAAACAAAATTTCTTGATTTCTGTATCCTTTGTCAAAGTATCATTTGCCTACCTTCCCACCTTGAGCATGATACAGTACCCCCTACTACTTCTGAAGAAAATCTGGAAGTCGGTGTTCCCTGTTGACTTGAGTTGCTCATCTTTATTCTCTCTCATCTGATTTTATCTTTCTAGATGGTTCTAAGGGTTTTCATTCTGTTTCAAAACAACCTTTAACACTACTGGCTCTCTTCATTTTTTTATTTTATTTTATTTTATTTTTGGGTACGGTTATGGGGCCTGAACTCTGGGCCTGAGCGATGTCCCTCAGCTCTTCAGCTCAAGGCTAGCGCTCTACCACTTCAGCCACAGTGCCACTTCTGGCTTTATCCTTTTTGCTTATGTGGTACTGAGGAATCGAACCCAGGGCCTCAGGCATGTAAGGCAAGCGCTCTACCACTGAGCCACCTTCCCAGCCCATGGCTCTCTTTATTTCTGTTTTTTCCCAACTGGTTTTCTTGGGTCCTTCCCCTAAATGTATTAATCCTGGATTTCAAACCTGGGGCAAGGAGGTTTGAGGTCTCTCTAAATTCAGAGTAGCAGCTTCTTAAGTAAATATGGAAGCTCTTGTGTTTAGCAGGAAAGTCCTGCAAAGAAGTGGATGGTTAGAAAAGCTCATGCGTACTAGTTTCTTATTCTGTGCTCAAGGGATGAGACAAAGGTACAACATACCGAGGCCGCTGTATTCCAAACCCATGCTGTCTCCACTCTGTACGAATAACAACAGTAACTCAGAGAGCTTGCCATAACTTTCTTCTCATTTTAAGCCCTGGGCACCAACGTTTCTTTCCATGGATGTTGACGGGCGTGTCATCAGAGCTGATTCCTTTTCAAAAGTCCTCTCCTCCGGGTAAGGCCCACATAGCTAACCTGAAGCTAGCCTCAGAATCGTACAGTCCAAATAGCTCTTCTTATCTAACAGGCTTGTAGTCTGCTTGCCTTACAACACTAGTTTGATTGGTATTCTAACATAAGTCCTTTTTCTCCACCTCCAGCAGTCAGAGATGCTTGGCCATTAGTCTAGTGGAACTAATTTAGATTTTGGTCAACTTTGCCAAGATCCATCTGTCCCCCCTGCTTCCACTCTCTTCCTAATGAAATCAACCAAGGGATTTGCATTCCTTGTTACTATTGGATTGGTATTAAGCCTTTTCTCTTTTTGTGTAGATTGAGAATAGGGTTTATGACTGGCCCAAAACCCTTGATAGAGAGAATTGTTTTGCACTCCCAAGTTTCAGTGATGAATACCTGCACTTTCGCTCAGGTAAGCATAATTTAAGAAGTAGGGTTTGTTGAAAAAATTCAGGTAAGACTACAAAGTAGACATTGGCAAATGAGATTAAGTTAGACTGGAGGGGAGGAAAACATCACAATGTCCAATCTCTATCCCAATACAGATTAGATTAGAAGACCTCATAGTTGTAGATGTTTACTCTTTTTTTTTTATTTTCACATTTCTTGTATTTATTTATTTCAGATTTACATATTTTCAGATGTGTCATTTGCCTTTTGTAGTTTCCAACTCCATACAATACAATAAATTCAAAGCAAAGGCTAAAAAACTGCCAAATATACCTTGGTAGAAACATTAGAAGTCTTTACTTGGAAATTTGCAAATTATTTACAAAAGAATATGAAATCTGTTTGCTACTGTATTGAAATCTAGAGTTTTTTTGTTGATTAAAACATCAAAAACAAAAAACTCTAAGCCGGGCGCTGGTGGCTCACGCCTGTAATCCTAGCTACTCAGGAGGCTGAGATCTGAGGATCGTGGTTCAAAGCCAGCCCAGGCAGGACAGACCGTGAGACTCCTATCTCCAATAAACCACCAGAAAACCGTAAGTGGTGCTGTAGCTCAAGTGGTAGAGCGCTCGCCTTGAGCTGAAGAGCTGAGGGACAGCGCCCAGGCCCAGAGTTCAAGCCCCACGACCGACAAAAAAAAAAAAAAAAAAAAACTCTATTATCCTGAAGATGTATTGAAGGAGATTTATGTATAAAAGGATTTGCAATGACTCTTTTACATGTATTTGAAGAGTATTTGAACTTTGTACCTGAAGAGAGAATTTGCCATTAATAGCAAGAAAACAAAATAATGGTTAAAGTAAGAATGACTGAATGCCTACTAAGTTATTTGCACAGATACTTCTAAGTTCCTGGGGAGTCTTAGTAAATTGTTACAAATATAAACAACATGTAGTTTACTTGATCTCTTAGAGACAAAAATGTGATAGGGAGATGGGAAGTATAAAGTGTCAAGACATTCACCATTTGAATAAAAATAAAACAATCTGAATCACAGCAAATCATGTTCAGATTTAATAGATTTGAGTCCACTTGCAAACATGGCTTCTTAAAGGCAAAAATGAGCCAGTCACTGGGAGCTCAAGCCTGTAATCCTAGCTACTTAGGAGACTGAGATCTAAGGATCACAGTTCTAAGCCAGAGCAGGCAGGAAGGTCCAAGAAACTTGTATTTCCAATTCACCACCTTAAAAAATGGAAGTGAGGCTATGACATAAAGTGGTAGAACACCAGTCTTAGCAAAAAAAAAAAAGCTCAGGGACAGCTCCCTGGCTCTGAGTTCAAGCCCCGTAACTGACAAAAAATAAAAATTAAAAAAGGCAAAAATGAGCATTGAATTGACCTGCTGTTACCACACAGCATAATGCACACTTCTTGAGAACCATAGTATCTTACTCATATTGTATTCCTAAGAAAAGTCCTAAAACAAAATGTGAATAAAAACACTTTGCAGGAGCTGGACAAAAGAACTGAACTTTGTGAAAAATATTAACTTTAGCTTCATGGACTTGGAACCTGTCCTGAGAGCAAGAAATCCAAAACCTTTGGGCAGTGTGTGCCTCCCTCACCGCACCCATGTGTGCCAGCTCTTTCAAAAGACACTGATTTGAATGCATCCTAATTAAAATAAAGGAAAATTAATTTGGAAAAATATATAAATTTCTTCATATGCTGTGAGAAGCAATTGGACTTGAAAATGGTTACAGTAGGGCTGGGAAGGTGGCTCAGTGGTAGAGCGCTTGCCTTGCATGCCTGAGGCCCTGGGTTCGATTCCTCAGCACCACATAAGCAAAAAGAAAAAAAGCCGGAAGTGGTGCTGTGGCTCAAGTGGTAGAGCGCTAGCCTTGAGCTGAAGAGCTGAGGGACAGCGCCCAGGCCCAGAGTTCAGGCCCCACAACCGGACCCCAAAAAAAAAAAGAAAAAGAAAATGGTTACAGTATTGGGAATCAGAGTTTCATGGATATAATGGCTATGGAAGAACTCAAATTAATAGAAAAGCAGATATCTTATCAGATACTTGTTTGATATTGTGCTTAGTATATATGTCTCTATGTTTTAGCAAGTTCGAAGCATGTCTCATGATTTTTATATGCTATCAACAAAAAGTTCCATATTTGTGACATTTAGAGCTTTCATTTGACACAGAAAATATCTAAATATATGATAGGACTTTATATACCTGCCGTATATTTTATTTTAGGGCTGGGTATATAGTTCAATGGTAGAATAGCTGCTTAGCTATCACCTCATCCTAGAGTCTAATAATCAATATCATGGATAAGGATATCTTTTTGGAATCCAAGCTCTGTGACAAGTTGTTTTACATTGGGAAAATTAACCTTTGTATCTTGATTTCAGTATCAGTAAAACAGAAATAACCTGGCTAATATTTAGGTTATTATGAAGAATCAAATAGCCCAATCTATTCATGTATTGAGATAACACCTAACACATAACAAGTACTATATAAACATTTGTTATTTTTTAGTACTGTTGTTTTCATGCTTATGAATATTTACTATAAACCACTAATGATGCAAGCCTGGTTCTGTGTATGTATTTTTGCAGAGGCTGACACATTTTGTTTTACTTTTGACAAGCAAACACTTTTAGGACTGAACCAAGGCATTGTAATTATTTTCTCTTTTAGTTCATGGTATCACAGCTTCTACACCAATGGGGAGAAGAAGGTTTCTGGGCTCATGTACACAGGTATGGAGTCATTTGTTATAATGTCTATTAGCAAAACAGAAACCCATGACCAAAGTGTAGAGAACCCAGAATATTGGTGTAAATTATTATTATTATTTATTTTTGAGTATTCCAAGATAGACAATGGAAACATCTATTAGAAATAAAAAGTTTGTTTTAGTAGCTCTTTACCTAGAAAACCTTCTCAGGAGTATTCATGGTATGGCAAGAAAGCAATATCCACTCACACCTATGGTAAGCTGAAATTCTCAACATGTTAGGAACCACTGACTTAGAGGATAGACTCCTTATACATATAAATATTCTGCTTAATCATCTACTCACTGTCAGGAAGACATGTCATAGGAATTGGCTCAGGTATAGATGGATAAAAAATAAAATTTTCCTACTTAATATAATGGTGTGAATTGTCCATTTAGTTATTTAAATGTGGTTAACTCCTCAGCCGTTTAAAAATAAGAAACTCTGAAAATGACATTTTGTGACAAGTGAATATAAAGATTGATCCTGCTAATTCTATATTTTACAGAGATGGACTTATTTTTCCTTTAATTTCCTTTCTTCAAGTTTTCCACTATTAAGGAGAACACATGGTAAAAGTTTATTATTAGCCAGGCACCAGTGGCTCACACCTGTAATCCTAGCTACTCAGGAGGCTAAGACCTGAGGATCACAGTTCACTGTCAACCTGGGCAGGAAAGTCCATGAGACTCTTATCTCTAATTAATCATGGAAAAAGCCAGAAGTGGCACTCTACCAGAAGTGGTAGAATGCTAGCTTAGAGCAAAAGGAGCCCAGGGACAGTGCCAAGGCCAAGAGCTCAAGCCCCGGGATCTGAAAATAAAATAAAATATTATATATACAATATATATGTGTATAATACTTGACAAGTCACAGAAATACACTCTATTCTGTAATTCATCATTCAACATTTTAAGCAAGATAGAAAACAAAGATGTGTAGCCTGGGCCCTAGAGACTTTCTGATTCTGAAGTTAAGGTTCTGACCACATGCTTGTCCTTGTGTCCTTCTTCCAGAACTATCGAATTTTACAGGAGAAAGAGGGATGAGATCGTGGCAGCTGCAGATAAGTGGTTAAGTGGTGAGTGGCAAACATCTGTCTCTACAATGAACAACATACCTGTGTTAGTGGGTGACCATCAACATATATTATTTAACAGCCCTGGTGGCAAAGACACAGTTCCCCAGAAGTGCTTGCCACAGTGTCCTACAAATGACCTCAGAAGCAACATCCCACCAACCCTGACACAATTTTACCTCTCAGCCATCTGCTGAAGAAATGTATGACTCTACAAGAAACTGAGGAGTCTAGAAATTAGTAACTTATTTGGATTAATTTTCATAATTAATTACATTCTCATTTTAAAAATGAATCCAAGCTGGGCACCGGTGGCTCATGCCTATAATCCTAGCTACCCAGGAGGCTGAGATCTGAGGATCATGGTTCAAAACCAGCCCGGGTAGGAAAGTCCATGAGACTCTTATCTCCAATAAATCACCAGAAAAGTGGTAGAAGTGGCGCTGTGGCTTAAGTGGTAAAGTGCTCGCCTTGAGCTGAATAGCGCATGGACAGTGCCCAAGACCAGAGTTCAAGCCCCACGACTGACCAAAAAAAAAAATCCATTTATCTCCTAAACTATGACATTGTTGACCAAATTTATTGAAACCCAAGAAGATTCCAAAGAGTTGAGACATCATCTTCCAATTGAAACATATTCCTAGGTCTACAGGACTGTAATTCCATACTTAGATTGAGGCAAGAGGATTGTGAGTTTCAGACTAGCAAAATCCTCTCCAGAAAAGAGAAAAAGTAAAACAAAACAAAAAGACAGGCTCTCTTATCCTCTGTGCAGACTGGCAATAGGTGTAAATATGGACACGGGAGTTATTTTCTCCCTCTTACCTCCACACTGACTCTAAAATAAACTTAGAGCATCCGTTTATGCCATCAATTCCCAGAGCATGTTTAAGCCTTATTATTTTTTTAGTATTATCACTGAAGGAACTTTGGGGAAAGTACTAGCTTATAATCACCACATCTACATCTTGGAACAATGTGTTTAGTGGCACTAGAAATAAGTTCAAAAGGTATTTATTCTCCATTTTTGTTTATAGGTTTGGCAGAATGGCATATTCCCAAGGCTGGAATGTTTTTATGGATTAAAATTAAAGGCATGCCTGATGCAAAACAGTTGACTGAAAAAGCCATCAAGAAGGAGGTAAAACCAAGAAGCGGGTGGGAAGAGATCTAAAGAAAAAAGTAATTTTTATTTTAATAAAAATAAAAAGATCGAGGCTAGGAATGTGGCTTAGTGGTAGAGTGCTGCCTAGCATCCATGAAGCCCTGGGTTCAACTCCTCAGTACCATATAAACAGAAAAGGCCGGAAGTGGTGCTGTAGCTCAAGTGATAGAGTGCTAGCTTTGAGCAAAAGAAGCTCAGGGACAGTGCCCAGACCCTGAGTTCAAGCCCCAGGACTGGCAAAATAATAATAAATAAAAAGATCATTTTATTGCCCACCTCACAACTCAGAATGTTTGAGTGCTGGGTATGCTTTCTCCTTACTAAAACTGTAAGAATTGTTTGAGTTTTGTAGCTATTCAGGTGGTCTAAATTGTTGGCGATATTATTATTTATCTCAGCAAATGATGGGATTTGTGGCTAAGAGAAGTCTCTGGAGCAACATTCCTTGAGTTTTAGCCTACCTCCACCTTATACTGGGCATGAGACTATGTAATTTACCCGCTCTGCTCCTGTGCTTTATTTTTGAAAATTTGGCTCCTATGTTGATCAAATTAGTTGTATATGTCGATCACTTAGACAAATTCCTGGCATGTAGTAGTTCCTCAATAATCATCAGATAGTAGGATTTAAAATAGATTTTATCTTCATTATGAAGGCATACTCACAGGAAGACATTTGGAAAATGCATAAAAGCATAATGAAACATTTTTAAATAGCCATCATTTCACTACCAGATTTCGTGGGCCATCTGTGTTGGATTTTCTAGATACGTTTTATAATGTTCTAGTATTTTGGCTATGCAGTTATTTTACAGGACTAAAACCACACAGAAAGTTTATATTTTGTTGAGTCTTTTTTCACTGAAAATTAGCTCATGTAGGGTTTTTATCCCCTCCTTCTATACTTAAATCATAAATCTACTTAGATCTCATTTGTGGGCATTGATTAAGTTAAATTTCTAAATGAAAGGTTTCTATGTAAGCTTACCAGTTTACCAAATAAATTGTCTTTTCTTTCTTAATTAATTCCATAGGTGCTTGTCAGTTACTCTTTGCAAATACTGAGATCTATTTCTAGAATCACTTTTATCTTGAGGCAATAAGTACAGAGTTGACTGACAAGGGTCAGAGACCCTGCTAGTACATAAAAGACCAGGTCAAGATTAGCTCTAGATACAGACTGACCAAAGCAAAGCTATTATTCTCTATGATTCTATCTCACTTGAGAACAGATTCATGCTTGCTCATTATTCTAATCCCAGTAGTAGCACAGAATAGGTAGTTAAAATACATATCCAACTGACTGATCTCAAATAAGTACATTTTTAATAGGTTTTTTATTGTGAAAATACTGTACAGAGGATTTACAGTTACATGAGCAAGGTGGTAATGAGTACATTTCTTATCAAGCATTGTTGCTTCCTCTTTGTTTTTCCCCTACCGTCATCCCTTCCCTCCCATCTCCACAACTACATCCCCCACACACACCTAAACTGTAAAGTTCGTTTTTCGACCTAGCATCTTGTACATCTCATTGTTGCAATGGGTCAACCTGTATCCCTATTTAAACAATTAGTTTTTTCCCTTCTGCTCCCCAAATTATACCAACATCAAATACAGTGAAAACAGGGGTTATACCATGGGGGAGGGACATACAAAGCAACAAAAAAATCACATGGTACAAATAAGCACTTTTAGATATAATAAATCAACTTGATCTTTTCTTCTTAATGCTATATCATCAAAACTTTTGGCTATTTGTATGTATCTTTGAAGTAAGTACTATAGACTTAATTTCTTAGTGAACTTTTTTCTCTATCTCTTTCTTTATTCCTCATATTCTGCTATACTTTGTGTGTGTGTGTATGTGTGTGTGCGCGTGCACGCACGCACACACACACACACACACACACACACACACACACGCATGCCAGTCCTGGGGCTTGAATTCAGCACACTATCCCTGAGCTTCTTTTGCTCAAGACTAGCACTCTACTACTTGAACCACATCTCCATTTCCAGCCTTTTGGTAGGTTATTGGAGATAATAGTCTCACAGACTTTCCTGTCTGGGCTAGCTCTGAACCTTGATCCTCAGATCTCAGCCTCCTGAGTAGCTCGGATTACAGGCATGAGGCACTGGCTTCCAGCCTAGGACACGTGTTCTTTACCTGTTCTGTATTATTTTCATCTTCATTATCTTAGCCTAGATTTTGTACATCTTGGAAAGAGATTACTCCCCTCCTTCTTTCACAGATTTTTTTGTTTCTAGTATATCCCAAACTTCTCTACTATTATGGGAAAAATAATGGCGTTTATATGATGTTAATTAGAACAAGGAAACACATATTCTACCTTGAAATTTGTCCTGAGGGCCCCAGATTGCTTCACTACCAATCCATCTTATTTTAGTAGACACTACTCAGATTTACACCAGGTAATAAGCAATTATCTAGTATTCTTAAGATCACGATTATATTGGCCTAACACTAATTGCTATGACAGATAAACTCCAGAATCTCAGAGACTTGACACAACAGTTTATTTCTGACTCAAATCAAATTCAAAGCCATGAGAAGGAGAATAAGAAAAAGGAAACAACAGGGTGAGTTTGATCAAAGTACATTATATGCATGTTTGGAAATAGCACCGTGAAGTCCCTTGGTACAACTAACGTGCTGATTTTAAAAATAGAAAAATGGGCTGGAAATGTGGCTTAGTGGCAGGATGCTTGCCTAGCATGCAGGAAGCTCTGGATTCAATTCCTCAGTACTACATAAACAAACAAAAAAGCCAGAAGTGGTGCTGTGGCTCAAATGGTAGGGTGCTAGCCTTGAGTAAAAGAAGTTCAGAGACAGTGCCCAGGCCCTGAGTTCAAACCCCAGGACTGGCAAAAATAAATAAATAAGTAAATAATATCAAAACCATGACCTGCTGGCACCTGTGCCCCACCAGTAACTCGGGGACATTGGTTCCTTCCATCCAGGGTCGATAATACACAGGAACAGGTCCATGGGCCAGGCCTAGAAGTCACTTTCCCTACTTTGGCTCACACCTTTTAGGATTCATTCACACATCAACAGAAAGAGGCTGGGGTTGCTGGAGGTGTAGCTCAGTGGCAGAACATGTGTTTAGTAGCATGCATAAGGTCCTACATTCCATTCCCACTAAAGAGAAGACAAAAAAGGAGGGAGGGAGGGAGAGAGGAAGGAAAGGGAGGAGGGGAGGAAGGGAGGAAGCTAGGGAATAAAGTATGTCTGTAAACGCAGAGGTGAAGAGAGCATGGAGTGTCCAGTCACTGAAGTGTGCCTAGCACGGTGCTCATCATGAAGTGTGCCTAGCACGGTGCTCATCAAGAAGGACAGCTAGTGACCTCACACTTTCTCAACATGCTTAGTTATTTATTCCCTCATTTTATGCATTTAAAAAAAGTTCACCTTCTTTTGGTATCATTTTCTTCCCATCTCAGAACATCTATATTCTCTATATTCTCTCCAATATATGTTCCCCACTTGCTAACACCAGCTTATCTTTAGTTGTCAGCTTAAGAATAGTTTCAAATGTAAGAGATATGTACCCAAGAGATATTTACTAGCTGCAAGAAGCTAGGCCAACAAGAAGAGGAAATGAGGAGGAAGATGGTCCAAGTAGGTACTTTTCATGCATGAAAATAGAACAATAAAACACTGAAGAGGATAAGAGGAAAGGGAGAGTGATAGAAGGGTTGAGATTGATTGAGATACATTGTACACAAGTGTGGAAATGTAATGAATAGTGTAATAAAATGTATATAATATGTACATGTTGCATATACTGCAATTTAAGGCAACACAGTGGGGAAAAATCATATTTTCAAATTTGATAAACTTGAAATGGTATATCTCACTGTCTGAATTTATATTACATTCTAGTTGTGTTAGACATTTATCTGTGTGTATTACCATTTCTGTTTTTGAATAAGCTGTCCTTTTTACAACTTAAAATTCAATTTTACTGTTTTTCTTCTGTTTCCTTCCTTTCCTTCTTTTTCTTTCCTTTCTTTTCATTTCCTTTTCTCCTTCCTTCCTTTCTTCTTTCCTTCCTTCCTTCCTTGCTTCCTTGCTTTCTGGCTTTCTTGCTTTCTTGTACTAGGGATTGGACCCATTGCTCAGCAAGTGCTCTACTTCTTCCAGGCATGTTTATAGTAAACATTTTTTAGTTTCTACGCATTTAGTTTTGTATTTTCATAGCAATTAGTTTGTTTTCCTTTGGTGATTTCTTCAACTTCCTTCCAATTCAATGTCCTTCAGCACTGTGATATCAGGCACTCTGATATGGAGCCTGCCCATGTTTTCTTTTTGCTGTTTGTTGTTGTTGTTGTTTTTGAAGTAATACTATTGTCTTTCCTCAACCTCTCATAGATCTTACTGGTTTCCGGAAGTGATTTCTACATAGAGAGCACAAGGCCTAGTCCATACTTCCGAGCCTGCTTCTCTTTAGTTTCTCCAGAAGAAATGGACATCGTGAGTATCACGAACACTCGCTCTCAATTCTGATGTTTAGTGCCATGTGCTCACTTTGCATGCTACAAAATTATTTAATGTTTTCTTGGGTTTCTGGAGGTCAGATATTTGTGGAGCAGTCAAGAATTCCCATTATACGTTCCCAGTTCGTTTACTGCTAGACTTCTGTAGACTAGTAGAGGCTAAGCTGGAGTTTTAAAAATCTGTTATCTTTCTGAATAACTTTTCAGAACTTATGGAACCAAATTGTTGTAGGGGAAAGCCTCTTTCCTTTCTTCATGAAATCAACATGAATGGAAACTATGAGTTCATGATAGCTTCAATCCCTTTCTTTGAAGAAAAAGCATCAGAATGGGTCAAATATTTTTAAATTAATCACAGCTCCGTTTTCACCAAAATAGTAAAAGGCAAAAGAAAAAAAACCCCAAGATCCTAAAGATTGTGCATCTGGAACTCCAAAACTATAATTTGACCAGTGCCATTAACCGTCAGAAGAGCTGACACTTAATCTGGGAGGTGGACCTTTTTTGGTGGGTTCTTTCTCTTACTTGCTCTCCTCTGTTATTAAAAAATATTTTTCATAATTTCTCCCTCCTTTTATATGTGGATAGACTTGGGAAATTAAAATTGTATGGAATACATTTGCAAGGAAGAGATTATATGAAAATATAAAATAATTTGTGCTGTGGATCACACAGAAAGCTATCATCATGTGAACCCATAAAAGAATCCTGGAAATCTGATGTGTTTATATCCATATATTTAGTAGCCATGGATGGCACCCTCCCCAGATAAAGCGGGTGTCAGATGTGACTTCTTATTGCCTTATCTCAACCTCCGATGAATACTCTGCTTCTAAAGTTTCTAAAGTTAGGACAGACAGACTTTTCATAGGAATCACCCTAATTTCACCGCTTCATATCTCTTTTCTATTTTAGGCCTTCCAGAAATTAGCCCAACTTATAAAAGAATGTTTATGAAGAAATCAAACTTATCACAGCACGTGTTGATTTTCCAAATAAATTATTTCTGTGCCTTAGCCAGAAGAATTAGTCATTAATGTTGGACTTAATAGCTTGATTTCTGTTGAATTTACAATATCTATGTATGTATAATAGTTTAACTGGAAAACTTTTAAAGTTCCTTTTACTCCATCAGATTCTCAGCATGAATTTATAATTCACATAGGCCTTTTGATTAGTATTCAACCTGCAAAAAGAAATTTAGCTTGGATTTTACTGTGTAGAACACTGTAATTGCTATAGAATATCATATTAATATGCTTTAAAACTAACATTTTACATTATATCATTTTCAAAAATAAAAGTTGAAAATAGTACATAATATGTAATTTTTTTCTTTTCTTTTCTTTTTTTTTTTTGGTCAGTCCTGAGGCTTTGAACTCAGGGCCTCTGCGCTGTCCCTGAGCAATTTTGCTCAGCTAATGCTCTACTACTTGAGCCACAGCAACATTTCTGGTTTTCTGGTGGTTTATTAGAAATAAGAGTCTCACTTACTTTCCTGCCTGGGCTAACTTCGAACCACAATCCTCAGATCTCAGCCTCCTGAGTAGCTAGGATTACAAGTGCAGGCTGCCAGTACGCAGCAATTTTTCTATTTTTAAGGAAACATAATGATAGTCTACTGCAAAAAGTTATCATTTGACCATTACAAATATTTTTTTAGTAAGAGTACCATAGACATTATTTTATTTTGCAGAAATCCATTTAAAATGAAATTCTGAACAACCAAAAGGTATCATAGCTGTTCATCCAAGCAAGGAGGGGAGACTGTGGGCTTAGACAAATTTATACTTTCATTTACATATTACATATTACAAGTCACATAATATTATGTAATTTACAATGACATATTCTTCACATATCTAAAATAGCACAAGCTCATGATGATAGTCTATTGTAAAAGCTCTGTATTGCTGTTAGCTTGGACTCTGGGCCTGGGCACTGTCTCTGAGCTCTTTTGCTCAAGGCTAGCTCTGTACCACTTTGAGCCACAGAGCCACTTGGAGGTTTTGAGTGGTTAATTGGAGATATCACAGGGACTTTTCTGCTCTGGCTGGCTTCTAACCTCAATCCTCAGCTCTCAGTTTCCTTTGTAGCTAGGATTATGGGCAGGAGCCACTGGTGCTAGCCTTGTGTGGAAAAAGCTCAGGGACAGCACACAGGCCCTGAGGTCAAGCCCCATGATGAACAACAACAAAAAGATTGTACAAAGAGGTTACAATTTAACATATTTTCCTAAGTGTCCACTGCTTCTTATCCAGTCATCCCTCCCCTCACCCACCCACCCCATTCTGTCTGTTCCCTCCCCCTAGACTCAGCTCATATTTCCTACATCCCTTATCACATACATACGTACACTGCGGATTTTTGCTGTTTCAAGATCCAGGGTTTCAAGATTCTGGGTTCCTCGGGGAACACAGAAATTTGTATCATTATTTATTCCATCTCTAGTGTATAGGAACATCTCCATCATAATTATCTTCCTGGCATTGGTTGATATATTGAATCTTCCAATAGCTAAAATTCTTGCGCCAAAACTTCCACCGGTGAGCTCAATAATTATGTGAATGTGATCATATAAAATGTTTATTGAAGGTGGGGGAGGGAGGGATAGTGGGAGAACAACAAAGGAGGGGGTAACAATGCTCGACAAGACATGTACTCATTGCCTTACTCATGTAACTGTCACCCCGCTGCACAGCATCTTTACAACACAATAAAATGTTTTAAAGAATGTTTAAATGAACTCCAGGAAATGGAAATGAGGTATTTTTGTATTTTGCTTTTTGTCTTGGAGGGGGGTTGTTTCTTTTTTCTCAATTGTTGCTATTTTTTATTTCTGTACCTTGGGTCTTGTATGTAAGTTTATTCCCTTGGGAGCGTCAGGAGGGGCAGAGAAAGGGTGAGGCAGAGACTAAACAAATGCAGCAGTGATACTCACGAGACACGATATGGAAAATGAACTTTGCAACTTGTGGGGGAGGGGATTGGGAGGAAAAAAAGGGAAGAGGTGAACTGTTCAAAAAGAGTCGTACTCATTACCCGACTTGTATAACTGTAACCCCTCCCTCCATACTTTACAATTTTTTGAAACATAATTAAAACATAAAATTTAAAACAAGCAACAGTCTTACAGACTACCCTGCCTTAGTTGACCTGGCACCAAAATCCTCAGATCTCAGCCTCCTGCGTAGCTAGGATCACAGTTGTGAGCCATTGGCACCTGGCTCAAATCACAGGTTTTTCTAGTTTTAGCCCTAGCTAACTAGCATGAAAATCTGCCAGGGCCATTTCCTTAATGTTCAGCATTCGTTGTATAGGTAGAGGCTTTCATTTTATGATGATAATAAGACACAGAAAGAAGCTGATGGACTTGGAGTCTGTTCTTTATAAGGATCCCACTGGAAGCATGTAGAATACACTTACACGTGCATTGATTAACGCTTCCTCTCAGGAGCAGCAGCAGGCTCTGAAGGTTGAACTGATCTTAGTGGGGAAGACTTCACATCCCCATAGCCTCATTTTGGATGTTATAGTGGAAGCTGCCTGATATTTTGCCTCTGAGCCTTCAACATGAGCCCCATCTGCGTTTAACAAGAAGTATTCACTTCCGATGATACGGTGGAGTGCTTCACAGGTCCACATGCTGCCACTATTTCTGATCTTATCACACAATTGTGATCACTCTGCTAAGGTGGCAGTGTTACGTAAAGTCTCACATTGTAGATAAATGCTAGGAGAAAAAGAACATTGATTTTCATTCATCTACTTGCTGGAAAAATGGTGAGTTGGCTGGAATTGAATAGTCCTTGCACAGCATGTGAGATTTAGAAATAAAGCTCATTTCCTAAAAACAACTCACAGGAGATCTCAGTGCACCAGGTTGTTGTTCTGCTACTACCAGGACATGACTCAGCTATTAAGGCTGCAGAGAGGCTGCAATTCACCCTGTGTTCTCAGTAAGTACTCCAAGTATCTGTTTTGTCACACTGAGATACAAACAAGGTAGAAGGCTTAGCCACATATGAAACGGAGAGCTGTGGTAGGCCAGTGTGGTTTAATTGAAGCCTGGTCACGAGGCTCTTGCCAAATGAAAGTTTCGGAAGCTGCATTTCTAATAAATTCACAATAATGGTAAGTTCTTTTGAGAAAAATTGGAGATTCAGGATCTGTAGTCTGTCGGTGAAAACTTCTTGAATGCCTTTTGGTTGCAGGCCAAGATAAAAAACTGACCGATTTTTGTCCTCTAAAGTGAGAGGCAAAATCCTTCGGAAATCAGGTCACATTCTAAGCCGTGAACCTTCTCTCTTGAAAAGTAAAGTCCGACAAATTAAACAGGACTCTAAACATTCACACATTGAGTCCAAAGGTGGACATTCTTAGGAGAAGATCACAAGGACTCAATAGCTATGGGCATATGGTCCTATAAAATGATGCTTATCAAAATGAACTCCAAGAAATGGAAACAAGAAGATTTTTATTTTACTTTTTGTGGACTTTTTCTGTTTTATGTACTCAATACCTGACTTATGTAACTGTAACCCCTCTCTATATCACCTTGACAATACATTTTATAAAAGAAAACTGAAGTCTGTCAAAACGTTGTGACATTTATGTGCAACTCTTTGCCAAAGACAAGACTGCTGCCCAGTAGCACATACATATAGTACATAGTATACATACTAGATTATCTTTGTGCTGAATGATGGAAGAATTTCAAAGAAACTGAAATTTCCGGGGAAAAGTAAGAAGGGATTTCATTGAGCCCTTGTAGGCTGGCAGTGCAGGTGTACTATGGACTTTTCCAAGTACAAGCAAACAAATAGGACTGTCTTTCTCAACAGGAATACAAAAGAGGCTGAGCAAAGGTCTCCCACTGAGCCACTTGGATTCAGAGAATCATTTGCTATTTAATTACTCATTGTTTGTTCTTTTATGCCAATGTATCTGGTAAGTCTTGAATTCCTAAGACATCAAACACTATACACACACATATGTATATATAGTATTTTTGTGGGAACGCTAGGGCATTGTGTGGATTGTGACTAGGTACAGAAGATCTGACAGTGTGCTTGAAATATGAATGATACTGGTGGAAAACCACAGTTGTGTAGTTGTTTATCCTAAAGACATGGGATTACGTTTGACCTTTTGTATGAATTCCTGCCAAAAGACAGAATCCCTGTACGTGCTTATCCTAGGAAATTCCTGGATTCCTCACTGAAACTGCTTAAATACTTCCTGATTTTTTTGTCATCTACCCCTTGGAATGTGCTGTTTTTATTTTCCTGTCACTCCCTTAAGTTTGTCCTGGACTAATTTGAGTGTATAAAACAGAGAATGGAGAAGACCGCTTCAGCTTAACCATATCTATCACTAAAAGTCATTCCTTGCCGCATGGTAGTAATTTCAAATATTATTTAATCAACAATAATCTGAAATATCACAGCTTGGGTATTACTTTATTCATCATCCAGGAATCTGCTTGTTGGAACCAGCAATTTATGATTTAAGTTTTCATAACTGATCCAGGATCATGAACAGATGTGGCTATTCAGGTAACATTAGTTAATCAAACAAACAGTTGAAATATTTTGGTAGAATTTGACAAGGCATCTCGGTAGACTGGGTCATCTGTGTTCCTTCAGTGACTCTATCTTGATAAGTTCTGCTTCCTTTGAGGAATATTCAAGGCTTCATCTTGAATGCCCCGGGATGGATTTGTTCATGATTTGCATATCTTTTCAAATGCATTTTTGTTATGACTCAACTTTCTTGTGGTCAATAGTCAATAGAGGTAGCTCTATAGGTTTTAGGTCTTGCTAAATATTTTTTCAGGCATGGGACCATTTTTTCAGCTTTAAGTGGAACAAAGAAATAATTATTCTAGCCAGGAATATGTACCTGCTTTCAGATACCAAAATAGGAATCATTTGGTATTTACTAGCTGGACACTGGTGCCTCACACCTGTAACCCTAGCTACTGAGGAGGCTGAGATTTGAGGATCACAGTTCCAAGCCAGTCCAGGCTGAAAAGTCCTCATGAGACTCTTATAACCAAGTAACCACCAAAAACTGGTAGAGAACTAGCCTTGAGCAAAAGAGCTCAGGGACAGCACCTAGGCCCTGAGTTCAAGCCTCAGACACACAAAAAGAAAGAAAGAGAAGTATTCACTAAAGATTGCTTTTTCCTTGAGTACATTCAATCTCAAAAAGTAATTCTACAAAAGAGATTTTGATTCCCCTGTAAGACTTTCTCCAATATTGTTCTGCTTTTGCTCTATGTATGTGTGTACATGTATGCGTATATGAATAC